AGGTATTGCCCCCCTTCTCACTACTCAAAGGATGAGGAATGGTAAGTAAGATCATTGATTTTTTTTTATAGCGTTAGCTAGGGTCCCCAATTCTTGGGGCGCGGGGGGGGGGGGGGGGACATGCCATTATTATGGCAGGGAGAGCAATAGCATGTCCACCCTCCTTATTTAATTAAATAGAGCCCCCACTCGCCACCCGTTGGGACACTAGGTTCTCCCCCCTGAATATTATAATTAGGGCCATCATCTGCCACAAATGGGTGGGGCAAAAGGAGAACAATAAGCCTTCCCTCTTTAAAATTAATATAGGGCACCAACCCACCCCCTATGTGTAGGAGCTGATGGGGGGACATTAAGCTGCCAATGGTTGGGGACAAGGTGGGCAGGTCCTCCGCCCTGAATATTATCATTGCTCCCACTCACTTACCATGGGTGAGGGCGGGGGGACATAATGACACCCTCCCCGACCCCCATTTTATTTTATGGCTTTCCTTTTATAGCTTTACTGTATTTTATTACCACTTGCTGGCAACTAGTGAGGACAGGGGGTGGAAATAATCTGTTCTTCATCAATTAAGAAGACTCTATGGCTGTAGGTTTGCAAATCCTTGCTACGAAAGCTTTACAGCAAACAGACTACTGGTTAACAGGTCAAAGTGTTACAAAAATTAAATAAAGTAAATGTAAGCAAAGTCCCATAGCCAGAGGGTGTTCACCCACATGTGCTTCGGGTGCTTAGCGTAGACATTTCCATGTCATCGTTTTTTTAATTTTTCAGGATTATTTTCTATCTGTAATTATACCAGAGATGTGGTGCCATATTCTATTAAATAATTCATTTGGATCTCTATTTCTAAAAGACCTAAATTATCTGCAATGTTTCCATCAACAAAAATCTCATTAAAAGCTTGGTATGTATTGTTTAAAAGTTTAAAACCCAATTTGTTTTGGTCAAGAGCTATGCCGCTTTCTATCCTAAATCATTATTATCTACAAATAGATTTGACTGATTGGTGCTCCAAATTCATAAATAATATTGATAGTTTTTTCAACAATGATATGCTAAAGTCGTTTAAAATTTTTGAAATTAAATAGGATTTGGACGATAGTTGGGCCCCCCGGTATTCCGCAATTACTGAGATCGTTCAAGAGCCATTTGGCATCCCCAATCTTGACAACAAATTTGAAAAAGTAAAAACTTTTCATTCAACCTTGAAAAATTTTATTTATTTCACCAAAATCTAAAATATATGATCTCCTTTTGATATTCTTATTTTTTTTTTCAGATCAAGATCCGAAACCAGATTATATTCTAGCGTGGGAAAAAGATTAAGGTCTGCAATGGGACCTGGAGGAATAGCTTGCATTCACATCATCTCTCAAAGGCATCACACAGTGTTCCAACCATATAGAAAATCACTACAAAAAGATATACCGGTGGCACCTGATCCCTTCGAGACTTCATAAAATAAACACAAAATATTCAGATAGGTGTTGGAGGGGTTTTGGAGGCTTTGGTACTCATTCACATATATGGTGGCACTGTGCAAAATTGCAACCGTTCTGGCAGGGAATACATTCACTGATTAAAAAGATCGATCCGTCAATTATTACATTCTCTCCAGAGGTGGCTTTATTCAAAAATCTCCCTAAGACATCAAGTAAATTAGAAAGAATCATGGTAGGCCACATTCTTATTGCGGCCACGTATATCATCCCTTGTTGTTGGAAGTCTACTACTTTACCATCAATTAACCCCTTTTTAAAATCTCTGCTGTGTTTGTGTTTAGATGTAATTTTCCTCTTACTCATTTACTGTATCTACACATATTATATACCATTTTTCTAACTCTGACCCCAATATCTTTTACGCATCTACAACAGACAAAAAACACCCATGCTAAATAGTTTCTACATGTTGTCCTGAGTTTAGAAATACCCAGTGTTAACATTTTCGTAGCTTTGTTTTGTGTGCAAGTTATAAAGCTATAAGTACAAGTAGGACATTTCTGTTTCAAAATACATCATTTTAAAATTTATAAATAGTGACATTGTAACACTGTTATCTGTCATAAATCTCTGAATCACACCTCACATATTTTTTTTAAAGTAGACAACCCAGGGCATTCAAAATAGGGTGTGACGGAACGCTGGCACTCCTACTGAGTACCTCCGCCAATCGATGCTCCTAGCGCTTGCCGAGGACTCCAAGCACTCCAACCGACACCATCAGCACTGCAGACCCCACTTCCAGCGATGCAACTGCGCTGGGGTCTCTGCTGTCTCCACCCACCCTGGACCCAAGGCCAGGATCCAGCTTCCAGTGGGTGAACCTCTCTTTCCCCAGAGAGCAGGAACAAGCTCTTAGCAGAACTTAGTGATCATACCCTGGGGAGTATAGTGATTATAGCAATCCCCAGAGTGTAGGTATCCCTTCCCCCAAACATGAGCCAAGGCTTAATGCTGGAACAAGACTGATTTACTGGCACACAGAACTCACAATTTATGCAACACAAAACTCCTCCTCTGGGCCAGGCTAGATAATTGAGTTTCTACAATACACAAAGCTCAATTATCTGCTGGCCAGAAATAATACAGTTTCATAAAACACATCACAGGGACCCCAAAACATGCAATAACCCCATAAAAGTATATCATTGGAACCGGGGGATCTGGGTGAACCACATATCCAAAATTCACCCAGATCCGTTCAGTACTTTGGAAAATACAGTTTAATGCAGATTCTGCAGAACATATACAGGCTAAATGAAAAACAATCACTGTATAATGTGTCCCCTGCTGTATAGTCCAAAACCATTGCACGATGTCTCTGTGCACCAAATACTGGCGAGATGGCACCGTGTTGAAAAGTCCAAACAGTGTCTGTGAGTTAAAATGGCCGCCATCCATTGTTCTCACCATGTGCTTCTGATACAGGAAATGGTGGCCACCCAGTAACTCCACAGTATGTTCCCAGATGGTTCTTAAAGGGCCAGCAGCAGCACAACACAAATCCATTATGCCCAAATCATGTCTTTAAAGGGCAATACAAACCAGGGGCCATAGTCACAGGGCAAGAGGCGGGCAAGCAGTCCTCTCCAGGCACAAGTGGCGAAGGGCACTTCGTCACATAGGGTATGTCCAGTCTTTTTTAGAAGCCACTTAGTCACAAACACTGGCCAAATTAAAAAATGCAAAAAAAAAACATTATGAACGCTATCTTTGGCCAGTGTTTGTGACTAAGTGGCTACTAAAAAAGACTGAACATAGTCCATTTGCAATACCTTGGGTTGTCTTCTTTTGCAAATGGTATGCCATCATGGGGGTAATTCTCATTCCTGTGCTACCATACACTTTCAAAGGCAACATAACCAATCTGGCAAATTTTAATGTAAAAAAACTGAAAATTGAGCCTTATCTTTGACTCTGTAACTTTCAAAAACACTACAAAACCTGTACAGGAGGTACCTGGAGGGTACTGTTATACTAAGGAGACTTCGATGAACACAAATATAAGTGTTTCAAAACAGTAAAACATATCACAGCAATTATATCATCAGTGAAAGTGCCATTTGTGTGTGAAAAATGCAAAAAAATTCACTTTCACTGACAATATCGTCACTGTGATATGTTTTACTGTTTTGAAACACTAATATTTGTGTTCAGTGAAGTCTACCGTGTAAAACAGTACCCCCCATGTACAGGTTTTAGAGTGTCTTGGAAATTTCCAGGGTTAAATCCAGTGCTAGCAAATTAAATTCTCTGGACGTTCGGCCTGGGTTGTCAGACAGGTCCCCCAAATTGCAATCAATAAAATTACTTAATTTTGTAAAAATATTACATAAATATGCACGTAGAATTTAAATATATATATATATATATATATATACACACACACACATATATATATATATATATATATATATATATTTGAAATCTACATGTATACTTATGAAATTATGTAATTATGTATATGGACATATGTATATTTCGTATTATTTTTATTTATTTATATATACACATATGTTGTGCCTAATCATTAAATTCATGAAGCGCCAATATCAAAAAGCAATAATCAATTACCCTAAGGTTTTTAAAGATATTGGTGGGCACCAAAACCCTATTCGAGATGAGTGAATTCAGTATTTGAGAAAGTACTCGTAAACAATCAATACAAACGTTATTGACTAACAAAGACTTAATTAATAAGTAATCATTCAGCTTAAAGGAACAGTTTAATATTCACCTTAAAGGAACAGCTCAAAGAAAAAGCTTAATAAAAACAGCTTAATAAAAACAGCTTAAGTATACATCACCATAAGAGAGGCTTGCTGCACTCGACTGAGAGAACTTCTGGCAGTCAGGCTTGAAGTGGACCATCTCTTACTAGGAAATCAGCAGAACCAGCAATACACATCCATATTACAGGTGCGAAGTACTCCAAACGAGTGCCAAGTTTCCTCGTCTTTTATAAGAAACTTAACTTAACTTTCCCAGCAAATCTTCTTATCAGTGCAGCCCAGCAAAGACCTTGCAAAAGTGTTGGATTGGACCTGCACCTGGCCAGGCTTTCCGGTCCCACCAACAATGCCATGCCAGATCTGTGCGGTTAATAGCTCTTATCTAAAAAGCTAGCTCTGTTCTCATAACTATCTCGTGAAGATATGCATGAGTCATTCTGGTGCTGTGTTTTGTGGTTATTAACATTTTTCAGTACTGTATACCGACACCATCTTAACTTATCTATAATAGTTTAATTTGCTCAATAGTGATCAATCGTTCTTAATTAATATGGAATATTATTATCACAACATAGATATATATATAATTTAATTCTAAGTGTATTTTGATATATATATATATATGTATATATATATATATATATATATATATATATATATTGTGATCCTTATCTGCAGGTAGCACGGTCCTCTAGGGTAAACAACAGGCACAGTCCTTTTATTTTCATATACTCCAGGCACTTTATTTGTAAGTCCACACAGGAGACAGTAGCAAATGAAAACATAAATATAACACAAATCCCTATAAACAAAAACCTAGCTTGTCTGAGCACTTACTAACATCAGGTTCCCTATCTCTCAGGGGTTAAACTAGACCAAAACAATATTGGTTTCACCAACCTAGTGTCTTTGTCAGCTCTCTGCACTCCAGTGCTTAGTCAGCCTGTTGCTTTCCTTTCTATACTCCCAGTGCTCCAAGCCAGCCTTAACTGCTTTCCTTTCTGCACTCCCAGTGCTCCAAGCCAGCCTTGACTGCTTCCTTCTGCACACCCAGTGCTCCAAGCCAGCCTTGACTGTTTTCCTTTTGCACTCCCAATGCTCAGTCTCCTTGACTCTCTCACTGGAGAGAACAGCCTCTCTCCTACCTGCTTCCAGGGAGGAAGCCAGCAATTTCCCTTTACCTGCCTAGCAGGAAGGGGTTTATTCCCACTACTACAGCTGATTATCTGCAGCTGAGCAGTGGGTTGGAGACAGTTCCAAAAAACTCTGACCAGGACCTTATTTCTCCCAGTTGTGTATAAACTGAGGAGTGGAGCATTGGCCCACCCTGCTCTCCAAATGCTCCACCCCAGGGGCCCATAACTAAACGTAGCTTTGTGTTGCACACCACACATACAACACGTACTTCCCCTGGGGTTAAATGTTAAAGGCCTCTTTCACAATATATATATATATATATATATATATATATATTCCCAGGTCCCATCACTCAAGGTTACCTGTCTTTTCGTGCTCCGGTGCAAACAATCTCCAACCAGTACGTAGTATCTGAAAAGAGAGCACTCTGGAGTCTTATACTTTGAAAAATAAATGCTGCTTTATTGTGCAGGGTACAAAAAATGTCAAATGACATTTTTTGTACCCTGCACAATAAAGCAGCATTTATTTTTCAAAGTATAAGACTCCAGAGTGCTCTCTTCTTGGATACTATATATATATATATATCTATATATATATATCTATATATATATATATAGACATATATATATATATAGATATATATATTTATATCAAAATACAGTTAGAACAAAATTACATACATATATATATATATATTGTTTTATTATTCATTTGTATTTATTTTTCATTAATTATTAATTAAAAAATGTAAAAATAAATGTAAAAATAATAAAAAAAAATAATAAATATATGTATATATTAATTAAAAAAACACATGATGTTATATATAAGATATATATATATATATATACATATTCTATATAGATATCATATATGTATATATATCTCATATATTGCAGCCATATTGCAGCCATGTGACCGCTCTTTCAGAGCGATCACATGGCCCGCGAGGGCCTAATTTCCAGTAGAGAAGAAGACCGATCGCCGGTGGGGAAACGGCGGTGATCGGGTAAGTACATAGGATTACCTCGGACGTACTAGGTACATCGGAGATCCTGGGGAGGGGTTTAGTTATATATACAGCTGATTTAAAAAAAAAGTTATGTTAATTTATCTTCACTGAGTGCCTCGACCCCTTGATGGCTTTCGATGCTCTGCCTCACTGCTGGGGCAACCTGGAAGTGATGGCTCAAATGTGCCGCGGACAGTTTTTGTCGGACGTACCTGATACGTCTGTGGTCACTAAGGGGTTAAGGAAGCACTGATTTTAGTGCTCAATAACAAAAGGTTGGCGTTGCAGCAACCCTTATCACAAAAAGTGAATTTGCAGTTTCAGTGGAATGCTTTGGAAAATTACATTAGTAAAGAGTTTCTCCTTTAGACAATTCCACACACCCTGTTACATATTGATATACAATATATTTCTACATACAATTGGTTATAGTACTCTCTGTATTATATTTTGACTGGAAAAAAATCCACTATTTTATTATTATTATTATTATTATTATTATTATTATTATTTTTATACATTTGGATAGTATCCATACCCCCCTTTTTTTGTTTCTTTTTTAGCATAATTTTTTCCCCTTCCCTTCTTATTTCTACTTGTTTCTATTGTTAAATGTTGATTTCTTTATATACCAAATTAATGTGAAATCTGTTTTTATTTTTTTTTTTTAAATACTGTTCAATAAAAATAGTTTGAAAAGAGATATGGTGCCTCTATTTAAAAAAGGTTCAAAAGCTCATCCTGGAAACTACAAACCTGTGGCTTAACATCTGTGGTTGGGAAATTATTTGAAGGGCTGTTAAAGGATAACATTCAAGAATTCATTTTGAACAATAATATCATTAGCAGGAATCAACATTGTTTTGTGAAAGACAAGTCATGCCATGCTAACTTAAATTCATTCTGTAAAGAAGTTGAAAGATTAAGTACATGTGATCTACCGAAATTTTGCATAGAATACATACTACGGATGCAGTTTCAAACAAAAGATTACTATTAAAACTGAAATCAGTTGGTTTAGATTAAAAATTGTGTTATTTGATTGAACACTGGCTTAAAGAGACACTATAGTCACCAGAACCACTACAACTTTTTTCTGTGATCAGAGGGAGGGCCAGTAACCTAAACAGCTACTTAAGGAATACATGTCAGGAATACATGTTTGTATTGTAGAGTGCAGAGAGTAGTTGTAAATAGAGAATTAAACAAATTGTTCTGCATGCTGTATTCTATTCTCTGCCTATTTATTTCATCTCCTCTCGTGTCTTGGACAGTGGTGCGATATCTAACTTCCTTTCTCTACTTAGCTAGGGTCTTTTTCCTCCAGTTACCAGAGTGGCTGGGCGGCTTCTATCTGACTTTGCTCGCTTTATCAGGTCCATGGGAGTTTGTCTCACTGGCAATGCAGTGACCATCTTAGATCTCATGAGATCGTGAGGTTCACTGTGGCCATCTTGTGGATTTACTTACACATTGGTTTTTGTATTCTGGGCCTGTATATTCTCATCGGGCAGCCTATCCTACATCCGGGATTCCTACTAATCTTAAAGTAAAGTCAGAAACAATGGTAGCTCTAATATTCTACGTGGACATAAGCTCCCCTGGTCTGGGTAATATAACATTTTAATGTCAAAGCACAATTCAATAGGTTAAAATGTAACAGTAAAAAAATCTGGTTGTTTAGTATTTTGTTTTAATGGACTGTGCTAAATTATTCCTAAACATCAATTGTAGTATCGGTTCTCTTGCTGTATATGAGTGGAAGACAGAAGGGAAATGTGCAAAATATTGTATTTTAGAAAGGGTAGCAGATTCTCCATACAGACATCTAACAAATGCAATGAAGAAAAACACATTAAATACATTGGAGATAAGAGGACTAAATGGAGTGATAAATAATAACAGAAAGGTCTCTCACCCTCTCCAAGTAATCTCAGTACATGATATTGCACTGATAATGTAAAAAAGAATGCTCAAATTAAAGGTGTTCAGGGTCAGTTTATTTAAACTTGTGCCAGCAACTTCAGTACGGGAAGTCCTTGAAACTAATGATGGTATTTTTGGAAAGATGAGGGGAAGTTAGCTTTAAAGTGTTATTTTCAGAGCATGTTTTTTTTTATGGAACTACAATTCTTTATAAATAGAAGTAAAAGGCAAGTTTCCATTAGCACAAATGCAATGTTTGGCTCCAAAGACTGCTACTCACAAGAATGAAACTCAACAAAGGCATCTACGTATTACTGACAAGATTATTTGTGTAGTACATGATATGTTGTCAAGACAATTACACTTACTGGACTGAAACTCTGTAACTTGTATTCCAATTGGTATTAACATCTAAAGAACAAAAAAAACATTAAATCTGAAATATTGAAAAGTTACTTTTGTCATGATGGGAATGCAAAAAATCAGTTCTCTTGAGATTACATCAAAATGAATAATTATATTAGTGATTGGTCAGAGTGATAAGACTTCAATTCTAGACATCCCAACAAGCAAAACTGTATTTCAGTAATTAAATTTTTTGGATCTGCGGTACCTAAAATACCAGCCTGCTGGAAACTGCACTAGTGATATGTTAGTGTTTTCTATATCCCTTGCTCTTCTTTTCTGTTCACTGTTCACATAATCCTTTGCTTGTTATCTGGATTACAGCATCTCACCACCTGCCGTGAACTTTAGATCAGGTCTGTCCACATAATCGCACTTCCTTCTTTCAAGGATTTTGATGACATTGGACCAAGCATATTTCTGCTTCCTGACTTTATTTTGAGGAGAAGCGAGTACTGTGGGCTGCCATATGTTTAATTTGATAAGATTGTAATATCTGTAGTCTTTTTACATGCTGATGAAAGCATTACGATTGTGACCTAGACATACAGTACAAGATTATTTACTAAAGTCAAAATTACTGGAAATGCAAAGTGAATTCCAAATTAAAAGTCATAACTGAATTTTTAGAGCATTTTTCCTATTTGGCTATTTTGGCTTACATTTTGAAATTCAATTTGAATTCCTGACAAATTTTGAACAGAGAGACAAGAGCTTCTCCTTTGCAGGCTCGGGTAGCTGTAAGAGATTAGTTTGGGCTTATGTGTGTGATGTATGTGACAATGTATGATTTGTGGGTAGCTGTGATTGATGTATGTTGCTGTGTGTGGGTAGCTGTGAGTGATGTGTGTAGCTATGTGTGAGTAGCTGTTAGGGATGAACTGTGCGTTAAAATAGACCTAACCATTTTATGGCACAGTAGCCTGCCTTCACAATTTACAAATGCAACTTTTTCTTTCAGGTTCCAATAATATAAATAAGAAGTCTGCACTAACCCACATAAGTGTGCACATATAGAGACTGCAATCAGTCACTGAAGTGTTCATTTAGAGATGCACACATATACAAACACAAACAGATGCATAATGCACCCCCGCAGACATAGAGACACATTCACATAGAAGTATACATACATAAGAACACATAAATACATATATAGAATAGAAGCAATAGTGGGGGTTTAGAAACATCATTGAGGAAGTAGAGGCTGACGTGTGGGGTTAGATGTTGCAGCAGGGGTTAAAAGAAGCAGTGAGGATTTAGGAGCAGTATTTGAGAGGCAGGGGCAGTAGTTGGGGTTAGGAGCAGTAGTGTGAGTTAGGAGCATTATTCAAGGGTTAGGGACAGTAGTGGGGATTTAGAGGCTAAAGTGGGGGGTTAGTAGCTGTAATGGGGAATTAGAGGCTGAATTGGAGGTTAGAGGCTGAAGTGGGTGGTCAGAGGCTCTAGTGAGAAGTTGGGGGTGCAGTAGTGGGCGGTTAGGAGCAGTATTGGTGTGCTAGGAGCAGTATTGGGGTGTTAAGGAGCAGTATTGTGTCGATAGGAGCAGTAGTGGGGAAGGTTTAAGTGG